GTTTGATCTTACTATGTCTATTTAGAATATATTCTTTAACTGTTAGATCATCTTTATTAATAAAATTCTTAATTAATTTAGGTTTATTTTTAAATATATCAGGGATATCATCCGTGTGATAGGTTTGACTCTATTTTGTGTTGAAGATTGATTAATTTTTGATTATTTTTTAATAAATAATCAAAAATAATATCTTTATATTGTATGTTTAAACTTTCATCAATATGAAAAACATCATCCATTTTTGCCTTACTACTAATATATTCATCAAATTATTTCCAAAACTTCCTACATTCCTCATCTTTCCTATTTTTATTATTTTCTACACCCATAATATCTCCACTTTCCTTAATATCTTCCAATTTTGTATCAATAGTATTTATAGCCACAATATCTTCTATATTAGTAGTCATAGTATCTTCTATAGTCACTTCTGATTTTGTATCTGTAGCTTTAGTATATAGTATCTAATGTAAATAGTCATGTCTCTAGTAATAAAGAAAAGCTTCATAATGTAGTATCCATTAGAGGTTTTTATTTTTGCTAACATCTATGACAAGATTGTCCATCCATCGATTTGGTCTTATTTAGTGTTATGACTTTTATTATATTGACACATATGATCCCATGTTGAACCTTTTAGATATATTCCTTATTAGACATCCTTAATCTTGATTGTTTTAATCAAATTTGACATTCACAATATATCTATATTCTCTCCAAAATGATGAGAATGAAACAATGATATGTCTAAAGATGATTAGACGTAGGTCAAACATCCACGTTTAGCTCACTTGACCATACCCATCATCTACTCTATGATCATATTACTCTATGATCAATTTGTTGACATAAACATCACAACTCATATATAGATAAAGATATGCCTCAAGGAATTTATAAGTTATTAAAATGATGTTATTTACCTTATAGGTTGATATATAAAAATAAGGGGTATTTTGATATTGTTGCCACCCATCACTAACATCATGTTATCATTACCATTGTCGCTATTTCCAATAACATCATTGTATCGTCACTACCACTATCATTGTCACAATCATCATTGTTGTTGTCATTATTATTATTTTTACCACCATTACTCTATTAAGATATTTAATAAGAACTTAGATGAGTAATATTAAAATGGTATTATAGTAAATTTAACATTATTTTATTTATGTTTTCCATTGTTCACAAAATAATGTACAAGGTTAAATTTTTTTCAATAACTTAAGTCTTTGTATTGTGTTGTTCTTCTTGTAATGTACTTAAGTGTGTATCAAATACACTCTTTAACATTCATTAAGTTTTTTCCTAACTCCATATGTAATTATAGTCAAAGGGTATGCACATCATCATAAAACATATATTCACATCACACAATATGTTTTCACTATACATCTCTCCTTTTCATTTATGCATGACCCACCAAAACACTCCAACTTTTATTTTTTATGCACAAAAATCATATTCTCTAATATGCACTTGCTAATTCAACCAACCATAACGTGTTTTTAATACATTTTTATCCCATTTGTCTCATACATGTCCTCCTTCCTATCATGACATGAAAATGTAACAAAATACTCTTGGAATGCTTTCCCCATACGTTTCCCATGAGGGTCATAAAAAAAATTTAGAAATCACATTAAATATGACTTTTAAGATAGTTATTGTAAAAGTGATCAAATCTATCATATATTATTATTTTTAATTAAAAAATAGTATATAAATTCATTATATTATCATTATGTAATTTTTTTTGTTACAAGTAAATTTTCTATTTAGTATTTTATCTTAAAACAAAAGTATATAAATAAGCTTAAGCAAATATTGTTTGTAGGTTAGAATGATATATGTCTATGGATTTGAGTGGTAGAATTAGGTTAAAGGGGTCAAATGGTAATTTGTGATTGATAATGACATAATTTTTATGTGAAAAGTTAGTGTTAGTAAGTTAGAATTTCAAAGACAACAAATATCAATATTTTTCTTTATTATTTGTTATTTTTCTCACATTTTAAATCTGTTTGTTTAAGCTTAAAAAAGTATTTTTGAAAAAAAAAATACTTTTTTAAAAAATAATTCTTTAAAGTAAGTCTGATTTGTTTCTTCTTAAAATTAGAAAATTACTTATTTAAAAAAATAATTTAAACAAACATATGAAAAAAAGTAAAAGAAAAAACTTATTTTATTAAAGAAATACTTTTGAAGAAAAAAAATTAAACTAACAAACCCTTGTTTGAATATTTTTAAAATATTGCACATATTATTCCTATACTTTAAAAATTTACTTATTTTCCTTCTATATTTTTAAAATATAACATATTTTGTCTTGTATTTTTTAATATTACACATTTTACTTTTTAATTATACATCATGTTAATGTCATGTTATTCAATTTTTTTATTGTAATTTTAATTTTTTTGTCACATTAGCCATCAATATTATTACATCAATAATCAATTAATAGAATGAATGATCAACTAATAAAAGGATAAATTTCACAAAATTTTTAAAATTTAGGGACAATATAATAATCTTGAGAGACAAATTTGTAAAATTATATAACTTTTGATTAAAATAACACAATAAAGCATATATATATATATATATATATATATATATATATATATAGAGAGAGAGAGAGAGAGAGAGAGAGAGAGAGAGAGAGAGAGAGAGAGAAGGGATATCAAAATTATTTTAAAAGTAACTATTGGTAAAATTACTCTATTTAATAACTCATGTTGTACATTAAATTTAAACTATCCAATTATTAAATTAAAAATTCTTAATGTAGACTTGATTTATATTTTAAGTACTTTTAATTTAATGCTTGAATTGTTAAGTACTTCACTCTCCCTCCCCCTCTCTTCCTCTCTCCCTCTCCCTTTCCTCTTTCTCTCCCTCCCATATTTCTATTTCTCTTTTTTGTATCTCATTATTTATTGACTCTATCAATTTAAATGATATTATCAAAGTGTGTTTTGTTTTTACAGTTTAATGGTATTTGTTAATATTTTTTTATTATTTTATTTGAATGAAATGAAATAATAGATTTTTATCCTTCTTATTTATTATGTAACATTTTTTTTGTTCATTTATTTTTTGAATTTTGTATTTAAATAATTTTAACTATAAGTTTTCAAAATTTTAAAATAACTTAATGCCATATTTGTCATAAGATTTGAGTAAATAAATATATTTAATGAGTTTATTTTAATAAAAGATATTTTTGTAAAATATATTGCTATACCCAAGAATAGATTATTGTGATTAAGCATGAAAATCTTTAATTTCTAGGAATCTTGTATGAATATTCCTAAGAATTTTTATGAGTAACCAAACGGATTTTAGTTATTTCCAATAATCATGATTCTCAGGATTTATTATTTGCAGAAATTATGATTTCTAGGTATGAAAAAACTTTCCCCTACCAAACGCTCTTGAAGTAATTTTATCCATCCCCTCTCTCTCACGCATATATGAGAAGGGATCAAATTATACCGATGTAACTATTACCAATTGTTATATCATTCAATAACTTTATATATTAAAGTGAATTTTGTTGATATAACCGTTGAATTATAACTTCATATTATCTTAATCTTTGTATCAAATTTTGTTAAAATTAAACAATTATAAGAAAGTAATCAAATCATTCATAATTTAGTATATTTTGAAATTATGTATTACGTTAGTCTTGATCTATATGAATGAGGAATTCAATAAATATGAAATAATATAAATTTTACATACATGATCTTGGTTAAAAGAAATATAAATGATCTTGGTTAAAAGAAATATAAATATAATAATAAATTTTAAAAAAATAATAACTCAATTAAAAGTTATTAAACGACATATTAATTATTAATAATTACACTAGTATAATTTGATCCTTTTCCTATATATATA